AACTTTTAACTCACAGGGTGAAAATGTCTCCAGCACATTTTCAGCATGCAGGTAATTCTGTGGTCAAAAGATTTGACAACTGATACCTGATGTAGCCTGTCATTTATTCTTAACATAGGCAAAAGACCTGGAATCACATATTATATATATACAATATATAATGTTCTGATAGATAGTTCTAAAGGAGGTCCCGAAAATGATTTGTCTGTAGGTTTTCTGGATGTGTATCTTTTCATGGAATGCATCAACTTGTTGAATTCGCAGAATTGCATTAGAGCTAATCTAGAACCCGATGCCAAATCTGGACAGCGTCATTGTTAAACTGAGACCGGGATGCTTCCTTTGTCTTGGTCTCTGATCATTGTTGTGGTTTGGTTTCGGCTTTCTGAGGAAGGGGGCGGGCAGAAGTAGGTAAAAGGTCGCAACTGCTTTTTAAACAAACCCCTGCCAGTGCCCGTGAATGCACGCGGGGCTAATACCTGAAGGGAATGATAAGCACTTCCAGCCTGTTTTCAAACCTCACAGGGACGAGTGGAGCAACTTCTCTAGGGATCCTGGCAGTAAGCCACTTAGCATTACATAACCCAGCACTCGCGCCTTTGTGTTGCTGGCTGCTTTTACAGAGCTCCTCATTACAAACACTAACAGTGCAGCTTAGAAAAAAGGGCGAGGAGAGTCGCCATACTTTGAACAAAGTGGAAAAGGAGGAACGTGGTTTTTGTGATCAGAAAACTTGGAAGCCAGCTCAGATCCTCAGTCTATTTTTTTCATTCACATTGATTCTGGTGCACTTTAAAGTTCAGCCTTAAAGACAACTGAAGCTGTGGCACACGCTCAGTCTGGTGCTTGTTTGCTCCAGGCCGCTGTTAAATGTTGTCCACCGAAGCATTTATAATCGCAGTTTTTCTCCAAACAGAACACCGTCGTAAACTGGGTCGATTCATTCCACTGTTGGTGCGATTTGAATGGACTTTACTGTCCATTCAAAGAGCTGAGAGGCATCTGATTCGGCCACCATTCGCTGGAAAATGCGAACAGAGACCTGCCCTTGTGTAGAAATGATCTGCTTATCTCAAGTCTTGTAGATAAGGAGGGGGGTCTTTTAAATGGAGGGCTTGTCCATAACAGAACAAAAAAGAAGAATTTTCAGCATCTTCAGAAATGGTTACACAAATTGCCGTTGACCCATTTTGCCACCATGAGCCGTCGTCCTTGTTTCAGTGACACTTTAATTAGAACTCAGGATAATAACCGTTTGTTTTGGTTTAAGAGGTCTGATAGCAGTATACGTCTTTCCATAACTCTGATACAGCAGTACCCTCACACATGTGAGGTCAGCCATGGACGCTGACACGCTTCTCCTTATCATCACAGACTCTGGCTCTTGCACCTCTCTCTGATAATGGCCTGGATGCTTTGTGCTCTCTTCTGTCAAGTCATGGCCAAAGTGACTAAAAGATTACTCAACGAGGTTTTACAGGACTGTTACATCCCCTGCCCCCCCAGTGGAAGGGAGGAGAGACCCTGAAAACCTAAAAAAAAGTCTTTGTAAAGTGAAAAAATCAAGGTTTATTGGTCATCCCAAAGACAAAGAAGGCTCAACAACTGTGGGGGAGAAAGGGGCCGTTAAGTTGTGCCAAATCAAAGAAATCAGCAAAACAAAACAGGGCCTAACTAACAGAACCTTTGAAATAAAGCAAAATAAAAGAAAATCCTGCCACTCTAAGCTAATAAAGATACATAATAATACAAAGGTGGTACCAACGTACTTACCTAGGGTATCTAACAGAAATTCACCTGCATGATGATAGTGTACAGGGTACCCCAATTTACCTAGCCCACAATCTCCCACCACAAACCTCCAAAAAAGCTGGCACAATGATAATCCAGACTCACAGTCATGCAAGTCCTGCCAGCAAAATGACCCCCCCTGGGCCTACAGGTGAGAGGTTTTTATGCCGCTGGGCAACTTCCTGCCCAATCAGGGTAAAGTGTTCCCAGCTGCCAGCTACCTGGGAAGGAAACAAAGGGGAAGGGGGGAGAAAAAACCAAAACAGTCTGCCTGGACATGTAACAAGGACATATTTGAGACAATGAATCGTATTCGTTCTTAGAACCGCGTCTCTCTGTCTCCCCCCTGAAGCTACGACCTCGGCATGGAGAGCCGAGACGCCACCGACGACCGGGTGACGGTGGAGGCGGCGGAGGCGGTGCGGCGCTTCAACGTGGGCATCAAGTGCGCCACCATAACACCGGACGAGAAGCGCGTGGAGGAGTTCAAGCTGAAGCAGATGTGGCGCTCGCCCAACGGGACCATCCGCAACATCCTGGGGGGCACGGTGTTCAGGGAGGCCATCATCTGCAAGAACATCCCCCGCCTGGTGCCCGGCTGGGAGAAGCCCATCATCATCGGCAGACACGCGCACGGAGACCAGGTATGGCACCCCCCGCATCATTTTCAATTCAATTTTATTTATATAGCGCCACATCACAACAACAGTTGTCTCACAGCGCTTTCCAAACAGAGCAGGTCAGACCCTACTCTGAAGTTAATTACAGAAACCCAACAATTCCCACCATGAGCAAGCACTAGGCGACACAGGCAAGGAAAAACGTCCTTTTAACAGGCAGAAACCTCGAGCAGAACCATGGCTCAGGGTGGGCGGCCATCTGCATCATAGACTCTTCAATTTTGAGGGACCTTCAACTCCAACTCCACTCCAACCCCACAGAGCGCCCACTGAAGCGCTTTGGAGAGCTCTCATTTCCAGAAAAGTGGCTGTTTTATGGTCAGGTCAGACCTTGTGGGGTGGTCAAGCGCAGCTTGGTCAATAATTATATTTCATCAGCTGCCCTTTGGACTACAGTGACCCGCCTTCTGACGGGTTGTAGCACCGTCACAGAGCTAAATAAATACAGATTAGTGCCTGACGCTCCTGCCAAAGTCGACAGGCCTCCAGTCAGAGAAGGGAAGTGCGAGATGTCTGCTGGTTACGTAATAGATTTCAGGGGCATAGTCTGACCTCCAAGGCCTGCAGGCATGTTTATGGCGGGCCGTGGTCGTTGTCCCTTGCACTTCGATCCGCGGCCCTCAATGGATACGTTGCTTTGTGCAATCCCCACCATTATGAACCCACCCTCTGTATTTTTCTCCACAGTACAAAGCCACCGACTTTGTGGTGCCCGGACCCGGAAGAGTGGAGATGATTTACACGCCTAAAAACGGAGAGCCAGTCAAATATGTCGTCCATGACTTTGAGGGTAAGAATGCAGCGAGTCGGGCGTGAAGTTAAACATCCCAAGGACATGTGAAAAGTCTGATAATACAGTCAGGTGTAGAAGATACTCCAAGATACACCCTTTACCAACCAACTCTGCTTTTGTCGGCCTGCTCGCTGCCCCACACATAGCACCCTTTTTTATGGTTTGTTGATGTTTGTAAAGACAAACAGCATCAGCAACACGTGGGCAGAAATATCTCAGAAATTGTTATTTCCATTTTCTACCTGTGGTAATAAAGCCTCTGCCTCAGGCCCAATATAGCAACACCTACTACGAACTCTGCTGGATGCAGATTTTTTTCAAAATTATAGCACCAGAAGTTGTGAGCAGAGTAATATCTGGACAGTCGTGAAAAGCATGATTTCATAGCCAGACAAATGGGATTGTAAAATTTCTTAAGTTATTTTTTTGGTTGGTATAATGGGTTAAAATTTTACATGTATAAAAAAATGCCACCCAAAAATCTTTGCCAGCCAACACGTTTACTAAATATAAATGGAAAACGCTCTCTACACTTTATTTCCTCGGAATCTGTGACACTTTAATGATGACAATATTTGTCTTTTATATTAAGCTGAAGGCCAGTTGATGCTTTTAATGTCACAGATAAATGAGGGTGTTGGAATTGTGAATCAACTGAAGGTTTAACATGTATGCGGCGGGGTGAATGAGCGGTTTGTTTCTTTTTCTTTTTTATCTTTTCCGTCTAGGCACAGGGGGTGTAGCCTTGGGAATGTACAACACAGACAGTTCCATCAGGGACTTTGCTCACAGCTCATTTCAGATGGCTCTGACCAAAGTCTGGCCCCTGTACCTCAGCACCAAGAACACCATCCTGAAGAAGTACGACGGTCGCTTCAAAGACATCTTCCAGGAAATCTACGAGAAGTAAGGATCTTAAAATCCTCACGTGCACAAAGGGCCATGACACAAAAACATGAAATGTTCGGAACTATGGAGGCTGGAGCTCAAAGAGGCGTTCTGTGTGTTCCAGAGAATATCGCGCTCAGTTTGAGGCCAAAGGCATCTGGTATGAACACCGTCTGATAGACGACATGGTGGCTCAGGCCATGAAATCTGACGGAGGCTTCATCTGGGCCTGTAAGAACTATGACGGGGACGTGCAGTCTGACTCTGTAGCGCAAGGTATGTGAGACAAGTCCACCTCCGTCACAACGTGTGGGGTGAACCGCGAAAAACGTAGCAGGTTTTATACCCGGAGCTCTCTTTTCATGGCTGTTTTCAGGCTACGGCTCCCTGGGTATGATGACCAGTGTCCTGATCTGTCCCGATGGACGCACAGTGGAGTCGGAGGCCGCCCACGGAACAGTGACCCGCCACTACAGACAACACCAGCAGGGCAAAGAAACCTCCACCAACCCCATCGGTAGGTGGACTAAACCCGAGGGTCTTTTGAGACATGACCGTGATCCCGCCCGATCCAGAAGTTGGAACCGGCCGTTCTGTAACCTGTTTGCATTCACTGATTGACCTCAGTCCACGCGTCTGTTTTCGCTTCAGCCTCCATCTTTGCATGGACTCGTGGTTTGCTCCACCGGGCCAAGCTGGACAACAACCAAGACCTGCGGGTCTTCTCTGAGGCCCTGGAGGCCGTGTGCATCGAGACCATCGAAGCTGGTTTCATGACCAAGGATTTGGCAATCTGCATCAAAGGCCTGCCAAAGTTAGTCAAATGTGTTGTGTCTACACATTCATTGTTAACACAAAGTAACGGTAAATGTGTTAGAGACCGCCTGATTAAAAGTCCCAGATTGGAACTCAGATTTCTTTCTTTTTTCTTTGTCAGATCCTGTGAAAACATACAGCTATCTGCATATTGATGTTACTTAAAACAAGCTTCTTGCTTAAAATACTGATGTGTTTACTTGCTGAAATAATTACCTTCCAGAATTTTCTTTCCCTTTTTTGCCTATATATGTTTTCCCTCGTATGACTTTCACTGAAGGTGATTCTTTAAATTCTCCATCCATAATGTGGTTTCTGTAAAAGATAAAGTGGAATAAGCTGACCTCTTGTGGTCAGTTAAGCTTATTATTTCCTCTTTTGGATAATAAATGGGTAATAAAAGGTAAACAAATGACAAGTTAAAGGAAAATGTTTTAAGTTTTCAGTAATAAAAAAAAAAGAAAAATCCAGACAATAACTGTTTAAACTTACAATTGCTTGCATAAAAATGCAAAACCTTTCATAAGCTTACACAGGAAGTTCAGAGAGTCCTCAGATCACATTCTTCCATGTCAGGTGGTGCAAACTGGAATTGTATTTTTCTCTGATTGTTGAGCTCTCGTTGGGAAATTGGCTGATTTTTGTCCATTCATCGATTTTTCTCCTCCTTTTTTGCAGCGTGAAACGTGCCGACTACCTGAACACCTTCGAGTTCCTCGACAAGTTAGCAGAGAACCTGAAGATAAAGCTCAGCAGCCCGCCCAAGCTGTGATATCCCACCCCATCTGCGACACACACACAGAGACACACACAGCCAATAAACACGCCCGTCCATGCACACAGAGACACTTATACAAAAGCAGGGAGCAACAGGCCGACCAAGGAGGGCAATTGGTCCACAAGAAAGGAGCCTTGGAGCCATCATTCTTTCTGAAAAAGCCATTCTTGTAACGGCTAAACATCCCGAGGCAGACGGACACCGGGCGCTGACCGGACGGCTCGGTGCCCCTTCTTTTGCCCCGATTGCACGAGCTCCCCTGACACGAGGGGTCAGCATTTGTTGGTGATCTGTACCGGACGGGCCGAGGAAGCCTCGAAACGTCAATGCCTTATTTGTTTTGTGTCAAAGTTGCGGGCCGGTGGTGGGCCTCTCCTCCAATACCTCAGGCAGCAGTACATGTTTGAGCGCAGTGAGTCCGTGTGTCCAAAGTGTAACCCCCCCTCAGCTCAGCAGCTGACCGACCACATTCCATGACCATTAACTCTTTTTACTACTAATCTGTGGACTGTAACACAAGTGGTGAATCTCCTCACACAACTTGTAATCACACTACTTGTCAACAATAAACAGTTTCTTTAGTGGCGAAAAGATAAACCAGTTGTTTTTTTTTTCTTTTACTGAATTAACTTGAGCCTGTGCATCAGCACTGAAAAAGAATGAAAATGAACCTGCCTTCAACAAGCCTACTAAAATAAAATCTAAAAAAGAAAGTTGTTTATCTGTTTTATTTTTTTCTTTCAGTGAAGAAGACCAGCACCTTAAAGCATATCCAAAGTTATGGCAGGTGTGTTATGAGACAATAAGTTGTTTAAAACATACAAAAGGTTGGCCCACTGCCCTTAAATAAAATATATAAATGAATCTTTGTATGAACGAGGTGATAACTTAGTGCAAAGATCTGTGGTGTAAAGGAAAAAAAATAAAATGTCGTTATTCTGAGATTAGACTATATTTTCTCCCAGCTGATGGCGCTATTGTAGTAAAACCCTGCCACTCTTCTTAGGCCAGGCAACGTACTTTTATATCCAACTGTCGATGAGTCACGTTGTAAAATAAAACCTCACTTAAAATAGAATAGGAGGAACGCACTACGGAGGCCGGGAGGTGCAAACCGGGGAAATACAAAACTCGGAAACGCCTCACGAGCGTCTGTCACACACATCTCAGAGGCGGTCAGCATCTGGAAGATGGATCCCCACCAGCAAAGAGACCCAGGAGGCCGGCTGGACCCCAGAGGGACGCCCCTGGGACACAGTCCGGCTGGTGGTCAGACACCCCAACAAGTCGATGGAGACATTCAGGACGTTGGAAGCCAACCAGCGGCTAACAGACAGCCGCAGTAGTAAGTAGATCCCCCGATACGAACACCTGGTCTTAGTATTTCTGCCCTCGCCGTTTCTAGCCTGTGAGAACAGCGTCAAAAACTTTTTTTTAAAGCCGACTGAACGTTGCAGTCCGTCAGGGATCTGTTTTTACCCCATTTCAGTTAAGTGACGTGTTTGTTTTTGTGTTTTGGTGGATGTTTACTGGAGTTAACTTTCACTTTCGTTTCAGGAGATTGGAAACTGACATGGTGCATTCACTGTCCCTCGTAAAATTAATGCAGTATGAAAATTACTTGATCATTGGTGCAGTCCAGTGCCAGAACCTATTTTATTAACACGGATTTACCCTCAATCAAATCGAATTTGTCTTCTTTAGCACCATCTCCAAGACAGCAAACTCCTCTTGATTTGGTTATGTTTCTTGCAAAGTCCTAGCGTCACAACGCAATCACGAATAAATCTAACATTTATATTTTTGAAATGGAAGCTTGAGGACCATCGTAGGGATACACTTATTTAAAGTGTGAAAAAGAGGGCCTTTACCCTAATAAATGCTTCTGTGATGATTTTACAGGACTAGCTGCTGCTTGAAATGTCCAACAATCCTATCTTACTTCAAAGCACCATCACATGTTATATTTTCTTTAACCTCACTTCAATCATTTGAAATAACATAGTTATTTAACTGGTCTATCACTTGGGTTAGGTGCTATTTTTAAGGCTTGAATGATTTATGTGCCAGTGGGGCTTAAAAAAAAAACACATTCCGCTGTAAATGGATGAATACACGCACGGGACTGGATGTGAGTGACACGGCTGCCAAATAAAAACATTGAAAGAATATCAGGAATCCTGGAAAATAATATTCCGAGACCACAATAAATTGTTATGTGAGGTCTCGACTTTTCTGTCCCAACTGTCTTTATCCAACTCAGGCAGCACAGTCGTGTCTTTGTACGCTGAAAGAGCTGCTGTGGATCCTGCAAAAATGGGAGAAAGCGTTTGACTTTGTGCCCCTTTTGCTATCTTAATCACGTTATTCTGCCTGGATTCCATTACCGATGGGCGATCATACTTGTGTATTGGTTGTTAACTCCTCTGTCTTTTCTGTTTTTCCAATGAGAGAAATGACTTTGACTATCAGAATAAACATTACAGGTTTGAGGAAGAAAATAAAAACTGTTCTCTTTAATTTGCTGAGCAGGCGGAAAAATGCCCCCAATTACAGAAATCCACACCTGTTCAAGCTCTATCTAACCAGAGGATCAAATTGGGGGTGAGAAGTGTACACATCCCTGCTAATCGCCAACCACCTCTCTGCCTCTCTGTGTCTTAGTTTAGGTGGATTCACCATGATCCCGCCAAACCAATCCCGCAGAAGCGAGATGCAAGCAGGTAACGGCTCTTCCTGTGAGCTTTCAGTCCTCACGCGTGTTGACACCTCTTTAAACAAGTGGTTTTTGTTTCTGCAGTGGCTCAGAAAGGAGAGCAGGATTACCAGAGACTGAAAGAGTCCCAGAGGCCTTCTGCCGTACACCTCAACCCAGAGAGGCTGGGTAAATAACCATAAACCATTACCCCCACCCATCACATTCTGTCAGCCCAGATTATTTTGTTGTTGTTTTTGTGTTAATGAGCGTCCATTAATCCCTGCAGGTGGCCACGTGACGTTGGCTGAAGCCAGGCAGAAGCAGCTGACAGACGCACGCAGCGCCAAACTCCAGAAGAAAGTAAGCTAACCACAGTTTCCCAGGTCATGTTTCCCGGTCACTTCACGGCGAGGTTCGGGTCACTTTGCTGTGAGTGTCAGTCTTTAGGTCATCCCACAAATTCAAAGTGACATCGGGGTCTGCGCTTTGATCAGGAGATTAAGAGGTTTCCATTTAAACACCTGAAGGTTTCTCAGCATTACTGGATTTCTGTTCAGGTCTTAATTCTTTGGAAGTAGCACCATTTATTATTCTAGGCATCAGCTTTTTGGTTCACGTTTTTTCATATTCAGCACCTGAAACCCCCAAACGGAATGTAGCCACGCGACCAGACAGAATAAAAACACCATCAATAAGAACGCGTGTTTGGGAAAGAGGAGGGATGCTCGTATGTAAGTTTGATGAAATAAACGTGAATCATTTTTCAAGCTGAAAAAAGAGGAGGCAGAGAAGAAGAAGAAACAAGAAGAGGAGGAGGAGTTGCAGAGGATGAAGGCCAAACAAAGAGAGAAGGTGAGACCAAGATGAAATAAAGAATGCTCATTTAGACTTTGAACAGATTATTTTCTACTTTTAAAAAGAAAAGTTAAACGTCACCATGTTACATTAAATGTGTTTTAATTGACTAATCATGGGAGTTGGTGTGAAACTAATTTTGATCTCCTATCTTTTGTAAATCTCGGTCCAGTCAGTGCATAGATTTTCTGTACATCACAGAGTGCTTTTTGACTAACCACAAAGTTTCATGTGAAGATTGTTTAGCTGTTGGTTGTGGGTGTAGGAAGAGAAGGAGGAGGCAATGTTTTCCCGGTAAGAGTTGCACCACATCCTGAGAATATGTGTTGCATCCTTTTTAAATTTCTAGCTGAATAATGTCTTAGATTTGTTCTGCTATGATGAATCTAAGATGCTAAGGTGCTATCACTTGAGCAAATCCAGAAATCAAATTGACCCCCTCTGTTTTGCAGTTATAAGAATCTGTCGCATTTGAATTTGACAATTAGTTTAAACTAGAGCCATTTTATGTGGTAATTGCAGTGTCATTAAACTCAACATCTACTGATTTGTGAGTGGGGGATAAAAATACTTCCTGTCTATTTATTTATTTTCCACAAGATCATTTCCGTCATTCGCAGTTCCCTTTTTTTAAACAAAAATAGCCCGTTCAGCCTGAAGATGTCAGCAGAGACAAGTGCCCACACGAGCTGAAGCAGGAAAGTCTTCATCTCACACAGCCAGAGTTAAAGGCAGTAGAATAAACTGTTTCACACGCATCTGACTCACACGCAGTCTCAGCTTCTGGATGTGATCAAACAAACAAAAAAGCCTGTTAGAACCCATAAGCCTCAACTCCACTTTTCAGCCACCCTCCTTATTCAATAGATTGATCAATAGATTGATCTTGTTTTACATCAGATAGCTGATTAGATTCATTTGTCATCTTGACAGTATGAAAAATGCAAATGAAAAAAAAAATCAGACTTACATTTAATCAATTACAGACACTCTGAAACTCAGGTACTTGATATTTTTCTTGTCTACCTGATTTTATTTGATCATTTACACAATTTTTTCAAAATAATTTACTTATTTATCTATTATCAATGCACGATAAAGGAAAATTTAGGGTAAGTGGTGTTGAAAAGTATTCTAAAAAAAAAATAGCATGATGATTATTATAATATCATTACAATGATAATAAAGAGATAGTTATTTAAAACGAGCTATGATGATTGGAACCCAGATGAAATTTCACTGTGCACAGGGCAAACTAGCAAGCTTAAGCTGCATACCCTTAATCTCTGATGCTTTAGACAGCTCTGGATCAAGACATGTCCTTATTCAGTAGTTGATACGACCACACGGGCCAAGGATCACTGTGGGAAACCTTCGTCGAGAACGACAATACAAGGTTACATGTGTATTGTGGTCGTACCAATCAGTATTGCAGATCTTTGTTGGATGGAGTTTGTGCCATGTGGTCTGAACCAAAGACCGAAAAGGAGTATCCGCACTGTTTTCTTGCAACGAGTCCAAAAACCAGGCTCTGCGATCCTTGTTGCATCACCCTTAGCAAAACTAATCAACACCCCCCGAGACGGCAGCATGAACACAGTAAAATCAACTAATTTTAGAGCACCATGTGCTGCCTTCAAGACCACATATTTTCCAGGGCTTTTAAATGGTATTTTATTCTTCATTTGGTTCCTTTTTCCCCTTCTAAGGAAGTAAATAGAATCCATAAATGTGTCCTTCTTTCAAAATCTCCCATACAGCCAGCAACGGCGCAGAAATGTAAAGAATTTGACTATTTGTTGGAATGTGTAATGAAAGTGGTGACCATATGCATTGCAGGCTGAGCGTCTGGAAGAGAAGAAGCGACAGGATGAGCAGAGGAGGAGGGAGCAGTTCCTAGAGGATCAGACCAGGTCAGTTCAGGATCAGACCCGAGTGGTTGTCATCAATGCCACGCGTCATCGCCTTCCTTATTTTTGCGCCGTGGTGCATTCTCTCGTTCCTAATTGGTCATAGACGTAGCGTCAAATGTCACAGGTACTTTACCTCCACGCAGAAACTATGGGGGTCTGAGCATGTCCTGATCAACCATTTATTACTGGAGTTTAAGAGATGAGATTTCAAAATTAGTTTGAAATATCAGGATGTATGAAATTAATTTGTTTTTACACTCGTTTCAGCAACTTACTTTCAAAATAGACATTTAAAAAATAATTTATGCAGGAAAACAGTAAGGATAAGTTTTGTCAGCATTTTAACAAATCGTATCAGTATGAACTTAGTCTTGGGCAAGAAAAATGAGACCTAATATTTGATAATTCATCCTTATTTTAATAATTAGAGTGGGATTTAGAAAGAAAAAAACTCCTCATGTCTGTCTGGTTTATGGAACACACCCACACTGTTGGCCTACATTCAGCGTACATATGATCCATAATGTTCAAATCAACCTCTCAACATCACACAAATTACAAGAAAAACAGCCACATCTCCATCACCACATTCTTTGTTATGCCCTTCTTTCTGCACACTAGTCCATGTCCAAGGTGGAGAGTGCAAAAACACGTTTTTCTCTAACTCTCTCAGAGCCTGTGATTGATTTAAAAGCAACCACAGAGTAACTCCATGGGCTGATAGGAAGAAGGTAACACAGGGATGCTAGAGGTGTAAAGTTAAGTTGGAACTTGCATATTTGGTATGCTAGAAGTCCAAACCGAGGGGAAAAAAAAGAATACAATGATAAATCACAATCTCTGAATTTTAAACATCACTTTAAGAACATTTCTAACATTAGATTAAATGAAGTCTTAGGTTTTTTGCTTCGGTTTCCTTAGATGATATTCATGAAGATAACGAACAGAAAGGGTCCTCAAATGCATCTCTGTTGAACACCTGTAGAAATTTACAAAAGGTTAGTTTCATGACTCTAAAACTAAACATTCTGTGGATCAAAGTGAGCAAAACTATTCTGATCAGCATAGGCTTCATGTTAAGAATATCAGTGCAGTATCTCATTATGTTGGATGTTTTTGACCCAACATATTAGATTAGTTCAGATTATACTTTGGTTAGAAACTTATTTTCTTTTAAGGGCCCGGACAATGGGTTGCATTTTTGGAACCGGGCTTTAATGTGGCTTCTGCGGAAGCATGTCGGTGACGAAAAGAGCGAAAAAAGACCACCACTTAATCAGTCCTTTAAAAATGCAAATAAAGAACTTCAGCGTGTGCTTTTTCTGAGTCGGGATAAGATGCGAAAGGTGTGGTCCACACCTGCTTTAATATCTGATTGATTTAGTTGTTGGCTCGACAGTACAGGGTTTGCTGAATTAGGGGGTTTTCACTTCCCTTACCCTGACTTGAAGGTTCATACTTTGAAGAGAGCAAAGCTGTGGTCTACCATAATTTTTTCAAAGCTCGAGGAATTCATATTACATGTCGTAAAGTGCTATATAATATATCATAGCTCTCATCATGCTGTATATGTTGGACTGATTAAACACTAAAATTCTGGTAAGTGGGATGAGAGGACTCCTGAAACAACATCTGTACACATGTAAAACCCAGACAGTCTAAATATCTGTCATTTCAGTGGTGAAACTGCTTTGTTCTTTCCTTTTTCTCTTATTATTTAAGTGTTTTCCCTCAGATTAGTGTGTGGAGTTTTGAGATGGATAACTTAGCTCACCTGATGATAAGACAACATACTGACCTGATGCTGACCTCTTTGAGCATTCACATAAAATGAAGCTTGAACCATAAACAGGCTAATAGAAAATCATGTGGGAAAGTTTTACTGAAAAGCCATGTCATGATTAAGACGTTTAGGAACATCCTCCCGGGCGGATTTGTTGGAAATACTTTCTAAGGGAGATGTCTCTGGAAGGCATCCCAGGCAGACCACCTTAAAAGCCTTAAATTGGATCTAAAAAAACAAACACAAAACCAGGATCTCTACTATTTATCTCTTCAAGACCACTGCACTCTTCACCACTCCATCCAAATGAACCCGGCCACCGCTGGCTTATTTCTTAGAGGCAGGTTTGTGATGGAAGGTCCCACATAAAAAAAACTGAAGTGGACTAATCTGGTAAAGAAGGTCGATGGACGGATGAACGGAAGGTTTTTTACCTTTGGTCGCAGACCTGAAAGATATTCGGAATGTCTGCCATACAGTGCGTTAGTGGTTTCTATTTAATAGTCCCCAGTTATGTCAGACCACTTTAAATCAATTACCTTGGCAGGCTTCACGTCAGCGAGATCTGTGGTCTGCTTCGACCAAAATTGCCCGTCAAGTAGCATCTCTGGCTTCTTCACAAGAGACACAGAGACAGGAAGCGGCAGGCCCAAAATCCCAAACCTGCGGGAACAATGAAGGTTTTCAGAGAGGGGACAAATAGGGGAGAGCGTTACCCGTCGAATGCTTCGTGGAGCGGGACGGAGAGTCAAACGGGGACGAGCACACTCGATCAACCTCCGTGGGAACGGGGGCCGCTGCGCGTCTGCGGAATGTCTTTGAGGAAGAATAACACTGTCAGACTTCGTTACTCGTGTTTTGTCTGAGGATCCTCTGCCTTCTGTTTACTTCAGGAGGACTGAAAGTTTTCTGCAGAGGTTTGAGAGGAGAGCCGCAGACCTTCCCAGCAGCGCCGCACACACGTCATCCAAGGTGATGCGGCGACCACACACACACAAAAACACACACACACACACACACACACGCGTGTGTGTTGTTTGCTTACATGTCGATGCTTAGATCCTTTTCTGGGCGCAAACCAGACTCCATAACTTTTAGTTTCTGTGGTGCTGGAGAGTGAATCTTTGCTGTATTTCACACCGGTAGGCCTGCCTTTGTATTGTAAGCTGTCTTCTCTATAAATAAATCTGGGTGGGGATTTTCATCATAGAAGGCCGGGAGGTTATTAAGCTCTATCCCCTTTAGCCTGGGTGGGGGTGAGAGTACAGTTACACCTACAATTATCTCTGGGTCACAGACAGAAAGGCCTCCCCTCTTGCTTCCGATTGTTGTCTAGCTGCTCCCTCCACTCTGATCATTTAGTTTTTAGTTTTTTTTCTTCTTCCTTTGCTTCTTTCCCTCTTTTCAGCCCCTCTTCCTTTATGAATGTCGGTTTTTCTTGGGAGGGGAAGGAGTGGAGACGGAGCAGAGTTCAAGGGACTTCCCAGAGTTCACGGCGAGTGGAAACAGATATGCAAAAGGTCACGGGGCCGTGAGGTTTCAGCAGAAAACAGAATAGTGGGGCGAGCTGTGCTTGTAAAAGTACCTGCAGAAAAAAACCCCAACAGTTCCCCAAACAGTCCATGTCTTGTCAGTTCCAGAGGTCGCATTATGCTTTTGGGATTTTCCCTTTCACGCAACGTGTGGCATAGTTTCAGATACAGCTGCGGGGTGACCTGAATCATCCATGATTGTAGTTTCTTTTTCATCTGCATGCTGATGTGACTGTTAAACATCTGAGCAATGCCAGTCTAACAGCTGGTTTCGTACCTCAAACAAAGAATTAGTGCCTTACACCCAGTTGTTTTTGACCAATCGGAGCAGACAAGCGCTTATGGGAGGTGTTCCTTAAGGACGCAGGAACTAAAACAGACAGTTTTTGACAGAAGTTAACAGGAAGATGTCAAAATTTGAATAGCCTCATAACATAATTACAAAAATATTTTTTGGGTAAGTTTAAAAAATCTAAAAATGGAAGCCCTTTTAATTATTTCTATTTGATTAGGTAAATATTTCCTCTGGGATTTTAAAAAAAATCAACCATTTGCAGTTACTAAAAAAATCATTTCCATTAACCTTTTGTGTTTGTGTTTTTATTCCCAATTTTCTGTCATTCTTCTTGCCTTTTTCATCCTATCGTGTCCTGTCCTGTTCCTCTGTTCTTGTTACTTTCCTTCATCTTCTCAGCATCGTCTCCTCTCCTTTCCTGCTTTTTGCTTTCCCATCTTCCCCTTTTCTAACTCGCTGCCCTGCTGACTCTCCCATGCAGCAGCTTTTTGTCAGATAGACGTCAGAGATTAGCAGATGAAAGCTTGCGGCCGCAGAGCAGCAAAAGTCTAAAGTCTTGATGTGGTTCTGACCAGGACCCTGGGATCTGTTGTTCTTTGGATATTGGCTCCAAGAGACAGACAAATCTCCCCCTCATGTCCTCTTGCTGCGGGCGTGTGTGCATATTCGGTGTTTGTGAGTGGAGGATTTGACGCTGAGCTTTGGGTGGGAGCAAAGTGTTCACACAGGTGGGCTGCTTTCCCCTCACTGACCCTTCAGCCCTCCTGAGAAGGAAAGCTGAGAAAGAAAAATAAGGGAGTGTATGTGTGTGAATAGTAAGATATTAAACTTTTTTTCCCAGAGAATAAATTATATTAGTCCATTCTCAGTATTTTGGTATTATACTGAAACAGAAAACTTGCATATATGGAACATAGTTTACAGGGTAAAACCCCTTTTGCTTTCTGCACATAATAAATACATGCATGTATATAATTGTGTTTGCATTTTCTCTTTGGTCAGAGTGAAGACGCAACGAGTGAAAAAAGAGGAAAAGAGTCAAAAAGTGTCAGAGAACTAGAGCAAGAGCGCAAGAGGTAAACTACACACACACGCACCAAATTCGAGGAAAATGAAGAAATTTAAAAGACGCAATTGAAAAAAAAAAACACTTGAAGAGATTTATTGGTTGTTTGGTTCATTCCTTTGGAATTATTCCTTTGGAATTAAACCAGAACAGACCGGACAGTTCAGTAAATGTCAAATGTCAGTAGGCAGTTTACTAGCGCTTCTATATTTTAGTGGGTAAAGTAGTTTAAAAAGCTGTCAAACACTCATCGCCACTTAGAGGCTAAAGGGATGAGTATAAATCAAAACACTAGCAGGTTTCATGAGAAGTGCTTTTCCTTTTTTTTTAATCATATTGTGACAGGGTAAACATGGCCTTCCTGGACAAACTCGAGGGTCAGAGTAGAAGGACGGAGAAAGAGGAAAATATTCAGGAGGCGGGTCATTCATTTTTGGAACCTCACAACTTCAGACAACAGACAACTCAACAAAGTCCGGTGACTCACCTGAAACCTGACGAGGAGGACAGCTTCTCTGGCTTGACATCGGAAACTGGTGAGTTGAAGTCCCAGTAGACGTGTGACTTCTAAGCACCCGCAATCTACTGTTTCTCACGCCTTTTTTTTTTTCTTTTTTCGTCCGGCTCAACCCTGGTTAACCGAAGCTAAATGAGACATGTGATAGTTGCCCACCTCATCCTCTCCGTGATTGTCTGTTTAGTCTGTGTTCAATCAAAGGCTGAACGTGTTAAAAAATGCAGGCAGGAAGCTATGCGTGGTACGCAGTGATACCATCCAGGCATTCGAATCCTGCTGATACTTGTAGTTTTTGGGAGATGGAAAATGTACATGCGTGTCTGTAAGTATGAGTAAGAAAGCTTTTTCTAGAACTTTTGTTTACAAACTAAGACGTGACAAAAATATCAAACATATCTGAGTAAGAGCACCAGACCTCAGTTTCAAACACGCAAAATGCAGGTTGTTATTATGCCTCTCTCAGTCATGCAGGGAATTTCTCTGGGGTGCTGAAACCAGGCAAGGCTGAGTGAGTCGGCACTAAGCCAATCAGACACGCTGGAAGGTGCAGTCCCACCCCCCACCGGAATTGGTTCAGATTTTAAACCTACCAATGAATATCTTCAACTAACAACACGCGCAGAAAAAATACAAAAAAATACAAAAAAAACATGTTAACACAAATTAAAGTCATTAAATGCTACATTAAACGCGACCTCCATCCTCTGTCCTCGTTCCCAATCACGTTCTCATCAGGTCAAGAAAATAAATTAAACGAGGATTTCTCCTAGCCAAATGATCTGGCTGGCTGCACAGTAGTGTGGTGTTTGGCGTTATCCCCCGACAGTTTGAGGGTTCCTGGCTTGAATTCCGGGTTCGCATGTTCTCACTACGAGTGCATGGGTTCTCTCCAGGTACTCCAGCTTCCTCCCACCATCCAAAAACACACATTTAAGGATGACCGTTAAACGTTAGGAGTTAGCGAAATATTCAAACTGAGCACAAAGATAACATTTTAGGAAATTCTACAGATGTGTGATGCTAACTAAATCATTAAGAGGCCAGCCTGAACTGTGTACACTTATGTTTGATACTTAAAAAATAAAAAAAAGATTGCGGAACACAAGTGAAAAACATTTGTGTATAACATAAATCATTTTACTAGAGTTGAGTTTCAGCTTAAGATGTGCTCGGAGTCAAGAGATTTTTCCCCCTGTTTCTTTCAACACACTTGTGAAGCATTCCAGTTGACCTGTCAAGATTTCAGGGTTTCTGGAAGGAAGTTTGAACAGGAATGTCTTTTCTGAGTCAGACTTCCAACAAAGAAAAACAACCCTGACCTCAAATTTCAACAGGCCTGACAAGCAGTGAAAGCTTTAGTAACGGACTGTTTATTAGCCCGTCTGTGTCGGTGAAATGGTGTCCGATGAAATCTCCTGCACACGTGTGGTACTTCCTATTATGTATAGCCTGGGTGCATGATGCTAAATAACGCAGCATCTTAACTGGTCAGCGATCCAGCTTTACCGATCGTCTACTGAGTCTTCGGCCAGGAGGGCAACTGGACTTTTTCTTTTACTGTGATAGATCCATTCGTCCAAACAATGTGAGCGGAGTGTTGCAGGTTTCTGCTGCTGTAGGGACGACTGAAACATTCACTGGGAGTTAGCACAACTTACGAGGGTCAAAATCTCTATTTCTTTTTAATGCTATCTCAAATAGCATGTTGTGGTTGATGGGTAGCAAGTGGTAAACCAGCAAAACCATAATGCTGGAGTTTAGAAGCTTCAGGGATTTTGCTCCACAAGGCATATACATCATGCATGAAGACATATCTGGCTGTTTGGTATCAACCTGTAAGGGATGTTATTTTATTTTAACCATATTAGGGTTTGATTATCGGAGACTCTGAAAAGAAAAGCAACACCGACTTTCAGGGACGCGTTAAAGCTGAGTAGTCATTAGGCGCTGAAGGATTGAATAATAAATCTCCATGATTGCACATAAAAATTCCCATCTGTAATCTCTAGTCATAGTTTGGTTTCACCACATCATCAAAAGAAAAGTGGGATCTTATAAATGTAAAGAGGAATAGAGGCTGACTGATGTTGCTAACAGGAGAACTTTGGATGTAATTGTCCTGATCAGGTTGTTGTAAAATCTTGAGCTTATGTGGATGGCAACTTTTTTTCTGGTTTATTGATAGCCAGCTGCCCCACAATACCAGAGCAACCGGGGAAATGCAAAAACATTTAGAAAACAAGAGTTGAGATACGGTAATTGGATGTCTAGAATACTTTGTCCCCTCTGTGAAACTCCATTTACAAGGCAGCTTTTCCTACCTCTCCATAGCAGTTCATTTTTGTATAACTGCCATCAGAGCGCCGGCCACAGAGGGGTGACTTTACTTGTCGAGGGTTAAAGCCAAAATACCAAAGAATATTCCAAACATTTATCCTGCCATTGTGGGCGCAGTTCTGCACGTCTCAGGCCCACAACATCCTCAATCCACGACAGGATGCGTCCACCAAGCCCAGCCTATATTTTGCCAGCATCAGGATCATGATTTTCCATTCTGCCATAACTTTTTTAGACAATATCCTGCCCGGCGCGTCAATGGAAGAGCGGCTCATTTTCCCAGTCTAGAACTGGACCGGCCTATGGCGAAAGAACCACCAGAATATGTAAAAAAGAAGAAAAAATGTACAGCTCTGCACGTCAAAACACACTCTTTTGTTATTTTGTCGGGTGGGCCTCGTGGGAGCTATAAGAGATAAACATGGATCTTTGCCGATCATTTCTATTTGTCTTTTGTGTGTATTTTTCTGAATCAGAGCCTGACTACGACTGGGCCTTGATGAAACTGATGACCAGCTTTCCAGACTGTGCCAAATGCTTCCTGGAGGATATCCTGACCCAGTGCGACGGCGATTATGAGAAGGCCCATTCATTACTCATCTGCACGCTCAGTTGACTTTTGTCTTCAACAGGGGAACGAGCTTTCATTCATTTCGCGACCAGCACCGTGGGCGAAGAATTATGTTGAATAGTGAAGCTCCAGATCAGACGTCAAAGAACAAGAGGAAGAAAGAAGAAAGCAATCCCGAGCAGTTTGGTGGAAAAATCTCAACTGTGCTGACTATTCTCCACTACAGATGACTGTGTGCTTTCTGTAATCTGTTTCCCTTAACGATAGGCTCGTGATTCATGTGGAGTTTTGCTTTGACATGAAGTTAAATTGATGAACATTTTCTTAAAATTTGGTTGACGGTCATTGCCTCATGACTCATAATCTCCAGGTCCTTTAATTAAACTGGTGTGTGTAAACAGAAAAAAAATGTCTACCCATAAACATGATGCTTCTGATTTATTTCTTTAGAAAGATACATGTTAAGTGTCTACAGCGGGAGGCAAAAAGAATGAAAGATGGGTGTTTGGATAGTTGTTGTATGGCTGATATTGGGCTGTAAATGTCAGCCGCAGTGCAACGGAGGTGGTTATCGTTTTCACAGAGGCAGCACAGAACAATGGGTGGTGCTGTCCACAAGAGGGGCTGAAAATCCCCTCTACTTCAGCATGAAGTCATGTTTACTGCTGATGTCACCCAACAAATATCCCTCCTTCATAGATCAACATAAATCCAACAGTTCTGCTTTAAAATAAGACGATGATGATGCTCATGTTTAATTGAGCTTCTCTGATATTCTCTGGTATTGATTTGAACCAATTTTTTCCAATTAACTCAAATATTAATAAATCCCTAAAGGTTTTTTTATATTGAATTTGCGGACAAAGATAAATTCATATTGTCATATGGGATGGAAGTATCCCTTTTTTCCATTTATCAGTGTGAAATAGTTTGTTTTCTTTTTGACTGACATAATTATGATTCTCCTGTGTGGTTCAGTGCAAAGCAAATAAATAGGATTCTATGCACCTCTACATAATTGTTTTACTCATAGTCATTTCACAAACGTGTAATGAAGAAATAAAATCGCCTTTCATAATGTTTGTCCATCTGAATTCAGTGGAAAGTTGCTATCCAAGAGGAGAAAAGAGAACAGCTGCATTGGACATGCGAAGGTTTATCTTATTTTCTGAAATATTAAATATGCTTTAAAGTGTCTTTCTCACATAACAATCTGGTTTCACAATCATCGTGTTGCTTACACAACTAGTGTCTGTCTAAGGTTAAAGGGCAGGGTGCATGAAGTCTGGACTCAAGCTGAATAACACAACAGAATTTCAACTTAATTGAATTTGATTTATATAGCACCAAATCACAACAACAGTTATGTCGTAGCGGTTTCCAAACAGAGCAGGTCAGAGCCTACTCTGAAGTTATTTACAGAAGCCCGACAATTCCCAGAAATGGGAATCTGGGTGGCGTTTGAGTGTATCACTGTCAAAAAACTAGGAAAAAACTGGAAATGAACTGGCTGCGTTCACGGAGATGTGGGCGTGAGTTTGGGAAACGCCACTGATCTGTCGCCTAATCAATACAGTTCAGCGCTGTCCGATGAGACTTTAGCCTGGGAAAGGATCAGATGATGGTGTTCTGGGGCCATGGGGATCTCATTCAGGACCGTTTAGTCATCTCAGATGGAAACAGCTTTGGAGTTTGTGCAGTAGAAATATTGCCTTGTTTAAAGATTTACAATTTTAAGAGTTAATTAACTAAAACATCAAATCTCTTCGTGTTTGTCACATGGTTTTATGCTTATTTTACTTAAGGAAGTAATAAGGCGACCTGCTCAGTGTTCGGAAAAGGGCCTGAACTTTGTCGTTTCCGTCTTTGGTGTGAGGTGCAGACTTGTGGAAGTTATGATTTGTGGGGGGAAATTTGGGGTATGGGACTTTTATTTTTACATCTGCGTCCTCTAGAAAACAGCAGTATTAGTCATTGACAGATGAAAACAACTTTGTCTGCAGAAGGCAGAGGGAGGGGAACTAAACAGATATCCTGTTGGCTTGATGATAATTTACATTCAGCTTAAAGGATTCAACCTTATTGTTTACGCTTAATATTGGGTGCGTGACGAATTGCAGAGGCAGTCCGCTATTTATTCAAGGGCGTTGAGTTTGTCTCACCTTCCAAAATTCACTTCATGGATCATGAGGTGTATATGCCGCCCCTTGTGGCAATTATTGAGAAACATAATATTTCCTATACAGATTAATTTTGCAACAATGTTTTGAGAGGACATTTTTCGAGGGCTTTTAAATTTGACAAGCACATATCCTCAGTTGTCAGGATCAGTTTTCTTCCTGTCAAGAGTTTTAGAAAGTGCAAATATGAATATGGCCGACGGCTAATTCTACACTGACAGCAGCAATATCAAATACTTTAATAGCAATGTATCAGATGACTGTGTAGAAGCCTTGAGAAACACACTGACGTGTTTAGATATGTTTAGGATAAAGGTTAGGTCTAAATAGAAAATGAACAATTGTAACAGCTTTTTCTGCTCTGAATGTGCCTTATTTAGTATTTAAGAGACCTTGTTTTAGAGGTTGTCAATAGGTGACTCTAAATGTGAACAGAATTGTTGCCTCTTTTTCCAATCAGCATGTCCATGTATCACTCAGGTAGGTTTCTTTGAGGCAATCTTCCCAAAACCTTTCCCATAAACCTCGTAATTAAAAGCCTAACCTCAACCACAGCTGTTGCAGCGTTTAAAAAAAGACCCGTGAGTCATTTTAACCCTGACAAATGACCCACTTTGGCCTGCAGGTATGAGAACAGCTCTTTTCCTTGTTTGTGGAACAACTGCTCTTCACACGTTGACTCATGAGAACGAGGTCCTGCTGCAGGGAAGGGTTCGGGCCAGCAGGAAGGAGGATGAAGGGGGCAGGTGCAGGAGGAAACCGACTCTTTCCCGGAGCTTCAGAGTGCGGAGGACTTTTTGCCTGAACAGCATCCAAATTCTTTCAAACTAAACACATGTTTGACACACATGTGCAGCACCAGCACGGAGATTAAAGAACAAAACGCCCACCGCACTCCCACCAGAGTGAAGGATCCTTTCCTGCCTGGTCACCAACACTGGTGTTCTCGAACAGAGATTAATCACAGGAAGCAAGAACTGCGTTTTCACTGACATTTAACATTTCCATCTTTTAGCCGCCCGACGTGCCCGCTTTCATTACAAGTGTGCATGATATATGGACTACAGTGAGATCAAACAATGATAGATTTATTGAAACCAACTTACAGGCTTAAAGTTGTCATTATTAAGTCTCTTTACAGCTGTAAAAACCATTGCAGTGCAGTTTCTCCCAGCTTGAGAGCTAACACAAACAACGAGGCTGGATGCATCGCGATCTTTCAGTTTTTCCACTTGTCTCACCTTCGAGCTATTGTCGCTAAGTCCCAGGACCACCCAATGGCTGTTTTTTGGGGATGAGCTGCCGCCAAAGACGACCATTACCTCAACATATGGCAGAGCTTCACAGGCTGACACGCATGCATGGATGCAGCGGCCTACAAACACTCGACAGACCAGGAGATGGGGGATTCCCAGAGGGTGGTTCACAGTCAGAATGAGGTCACCTCATTCTGTTGTGTTACACGCACAAACCCCAAAATTTCTGCACGAAAAATATATCCAAATATGTCCACTTCAGAGACACCCCGACAGTCCCACGCAGCCACGAATCTCTGGGTAACATTAAATATTGGGTTAAAAAGCATAAAGCATCTTGATGTGTTGGGAATCACCTCCATTGGGGTTTATAGATATGGATATTGGTTCTTTTAAAAGGCTTTTCCACAACAAGTTACAACGTGATGTCATGCACGATCAACCCACTTTGTTTTTTCCACGGAACGGGGCAGTCCACCATCTCCCAATGGGCTCCCCTGCCCCTCGAGAAACAAAATAACAAAAAGCAGATCAAATGGGATAGTAAATTGACTTCGACATGTCATTGATGTCATTGCAGACTTAAGTCAAAAGAACTCATGCAAAGTTATAAAGATAGGTACTTAATCCAAAGGATCCAAAGGAAATTCTAGATAGTAAAATGAACTCTCATTAAGATTTATCAAGCCGAAGACCTTTCACACAGTTGGGAAAATCAGTCATTTATCTCATATTTGTAGCTCATTGAAATGTTCCAAAAATACAAATGTTCTTTTAAAGAACCAGATATGAATGGAGTGCTGTTAATTCTTTCAAAGAAATGGGAAAAGAGGAGCTCCTTGGGACCTCCAGAAAAGACTTTTGATACCAAACATCATCTTGAGCTGTTGGGAAAACAAATGGAGGGCCCAACAAGAATTGTTCTTCCCAAAAACAATGTCTTGGTTGCACCAGACAGTTCACAAACCTCACTGGGTGGCTTGCACCGGCACTATTTCTTAAGTAAAAAGGAGTTCCAATAAAAACTGTTCACAGATATGTCTGTGGATTATTCAGAGTGACCCAGACATTCTTTCTTGAAATAGAAGGTCCACTTTAGTTGTTCGCTTGTAATTTTTCAACACTCTGAATACCGCAAACATAATTACAGTCACCTTATTTGTACAGGGGGTCGCTGCAAAAACTCCCGAAAAGATCTTTAAAAACTGGAGCACATTCATTTAAAACCACCTGCGTTGGTCGCCATTAGGTTGTTGTTGGCCGGCTTTGGCCGCCCATGCATGCAAAATAAATCTAGTTCCCATGCAAGGGTCCAGCAGTGATCTGTTTTGGTGGGTTTTTAGTTTTGACAGCACCCTACATGCTCCTGTTAGACTTTACATTTGGGATCTGGTGGTTTAAAGTCCATACCAACTGCCATAAAACATTACTAGCAGTGCGGAATGAGAGATATATATATTTTCGGACATCGGCAAACCTCAGACTGACCTGAGGAAAACATGGCAGCCATGGAGCTCAGTTGTAATCGCCTTAAAATGTTTGTGCACGCAAACTTAAACAGATAGACACAGGAATGTAAGCACGCAACTATTGCTCTTACTTTGATTCCCTTCCTCTCTTTATTTCCACACACACATACACACACGCACGCACACACACACGGTATGCATTCACAAACAATGTCAAACCACAACTGAGTCACTTTGCTTCCTGAGGGAAAACTGGCTCCACACAGAGGGCAGCAAAGACACTCCTTCCTTGTCGGTTGATATTGCTGACAGCGGCATATATGTTTTGCTTTCCCATACACTCTCCTCAGCTCAGAGTCGTCTGAGCTTATGGGAATGTACAGTAGTGTGCAGATGTTAGACGGCTACTCTGAGTCAGCGTCATAAAGCAGAATATGTGCACCGACATTGTAAGGCCGTCTTTACGGCAGAAAATAAGTCCTGGCAGAAAATAGGTAATGTTAAGGGACAATGTTCCCAAATCCAGCAGCAAATCTGTAACAGAATGTCTGAAAAAGAAAAGAATAATGGCATTGCAATCGTCCACTCAAAGTCCTGACCATGATCAAACTGAAAATGCCCTACTTGGACCTTGGAAAAGCTGTACAAATACCGCAATCCTCAACTTTCCGAAGCTACATTGTCAAGAATAGGAAACCAAAATATATCCGCTATGATGAGTGACTGATACATAAAAACCTACTGCTGCTAAAAGACCAGCTCAATAAATAGCACAAAAGTTAGGTTTGCATGGGGGATGTGCACCAAAAAGGGGAGTCATTAGATGGTTGTGCACCTTGAACTATGCAGTATTCTGCAGGCAGACTGACAGACTGAGAGTTACAGAAAAATATAAACAAATCAAATTTTCAACTCACACTGAAATCTGGGTTTTCAAGCCCTTTGCCTCCAAATTGTGTCGAAAATAATGTGTGCACATGTTTCAATAAATTACTGTTTATTTAAAGAATAAAAAGGGGGCAAAAAAAGTCGTGCTGGGAAGTTCTCATCCTCCTCATCCTTAATCATTTCCTATGTGGTCTACATTTTGTGTCTCCTGTTACGCTGGCTGCATGTCTTCCAGCACCCATTAAACAGAAAAAGAACCAGGGTCAGAGCACAGATATTAG